CTGTATCATTCTCGCATTATCTTCTGAACATGTCTCACCTGTGGCTGTCCTCTTGTAATTACCGAAAGCATCCATTCTTCAAGTGTGATCTTAGAGAACGAATGTCGTGGGACTGTTAGACCACTGGGGCATTGCAGCTGAACCCAAGACTCTTCTCAATACACATACACATCCATTTTCAGCAAACAGTCACTACATAATAATCAGGAAAGAGACTTTGACTGATAGTATCCCTACTTCCACTGACTGAAATCAATTAACTCAGTGCAGATCAAGTCTAAATGGTTTAGTGCAACTCATGCTGGTTCTGCACTGACTATAGCAAGGATTCTCACACTTCACCTACTCGTGATGAATCCAGAATTTGCTCCGTCAAGTATGATTTACAGAAGTTATTTCACAAATTTCAAGACCGATAAGTTACAAGTACAGCAGCAGAAGCAGCAAAAGCAACAAATATGTTTCACATAAAATAAATCTCTGTAGCACAGAGCTGGGCAGGTAGACATTCTGCTTCTTGCTCTTGTATGTATTGTCCTGGTCCAGACAAATTATAACTTGAGCATTAACTCTAAATATAGGTCTAGACTAATAGCATCTGTGAGAATCCCATTTCTGTATATGACAAAGTAAAGTTGTATTGCATTAATTAACCTCATTTAGCTCACACTTTTTTATCTTCTGTGCCCAGTTGAGTTGGAAATGTGATAATTCACAAATCAGATTCAAGACTCTATGTAGCCTGCTTTGCCAGGTTTTAAACCACAAATCTGAAGCCGAGAATATCTGCCAAAGGGCTAGCCAGCAAAATTACAGCTATCACTTTTGCGGAGCTTTCTGGCCTGGAATTTGTGGTTAGAAATTTCCAAATCGCAGAACAAATCTTATGTTCTTACACATGCAATACCTGAATCAAATCCAGTTTGTGAATATGATAGTTTCAATGGCAAAGTCTCCAATGATGCTGTGACAGCAGACACATCACATCACTGCTGGGACCATGCAGAATTGTCAATACAATGAAAATCGCTCTGTTTTCCAGGCCAGTCATTTGCCCACAAGTCCCACCATGCTTAACATTCAGACAATCTTACACGTGATACAAGCAACAAAAGTGACTCCTGCCAAAGACTCATGATACTCACCCTACAAGTGAAACCAACTCAGTTCAGTGGCCAGATAAGCCTGTAACTCATAGGGTCAAGAGTTTTCCTGATGTGACAGTACTGTAAGACGCCAGCAGGAGTCCCATATTCTAACACTTAGTAAAAACATTCACAGTCCACTTAATGGGCATTGCACCCAACAACCAAACAAGTATAGGCTTACAGTTACAGGTAGGCGCACGATGCAGTATTCAATGCAAATAAACTGGAACGAATTAGAGATATTTTATACCAGCTTTTCATAGTGAGTGTAAAATTCAAGTATGTGTAACATTTCAAGTAAAGAATTTGTGAAAAGTTTCAAGTAGTGTGTCAGCAATCTCACGCGCTAATAAGCAGGAGTCACCGTCCTAATCCCTCAGTCCAAAACATTATGTTAATTAACATCTTTTGCTTATTTCTTTGTTGTATTTTTGTGTGCTTGACAAGCACGCACTGAGGCATTATAGGATGGGCTGTTTTGGAGGAGTCACTGACCCTGGAAGGAGTTGAAAGATTAACAGTTGGTGCTGGAGCAGGCCTGGGTTAATGGTTGTTTCCTCACTGACAATAACTCAGATCCCTCATCCCGCCTGTTCAAAAACTTCTCTCAATTCCTAAGCGCTCCTTGTCTAAAGGGGGATTCTCATCTCAATGTGAAGATTTGGGGAGACTCAAAAGGAGAGGAGGGGAACGGGGGAATGGGGGGTGACTGAAGGTGCAGGCACAGAGACGGGTTTTGAAAGCCGAGAATGAGGAGTTGAGATAGAGGGATTTGGGAAGAAAGTATCAGAGAGCAGGGGCAAAGTGATAAAACTTACCCCCCAATGCTGGGGCAGAACACGCAGCAGGCATGAAGTAGGCCAGAAGTGGTGGGACAGAGGGAATGGTTAAGGGAGTAGGGCTGAAGGATATCACTGAGGTATGTTGGGTGGGGGCAAGACCATGAAGACATTTAAGGTTAAGGGCAAGATCTTAAAACGATCCACTTGATAATAGGAAGCCAGTGGAGCCGGGCAAGGATGTGGGTGATAAACTTGAAGAGACTGGGGCAGAAGAGGAAATGGGCTGCAGAGTTGTGAATGATCTGGAGATGTGGAGGGTGGGGCTGGGGAGGCCAGTGCGTTAAAGCGTTGAAAAAGTATAAATATTTTGACATTTTAAAACATTTTTCATTTTAGATTTTTAATTTTTTTGCCAATTTCTCTCCCCTCCTCTTCTGAGGCACTCGTACAGATCCACAGACCAAGTCATTTTATATATGTGAGCCTAAGCATTGAGTGCAGCCAGTCCATAGCCTGGAAAGGGCATAAAGCTTAAACCAATCCTGTCTTTAGCTAGCATTAACACACTGTCCAGCAGGGTCCCTGAAGCCAGCTGTGGCTCTTCAACAGCTGCCAAGGGTTAGATTGGCTAACAGTATATAGACTGAGTGTTCAACCTGCAACTTTCTGCCCCAGAGTACTACATTTGTGAGGCCTTAATCTACTGAAATGTCTTGGTACTTTCATTTTAGCTTTGATTAAAACCTAGATAAAATTTCAAGCATTTGTAGCTGAAAGCTGAACAGGAAGGATATTGTAAAGGAGGTAACATTTCAAGACGACGGAAATAAGTGAAAGGATGATTTGGTTGGGGTTTGGTTTGTGAGAGAATGCTGATTGGGATGCTTGCCCTTTGAGCTGGAAACTCACAGAACAGTTTCAAAAAGCTGTTTAATGAATAGCATTATGGACAAGAACCTGGGGTTTGGCAGGGAATGGTGAGAACCATTGTAGTAATGTCATATGCATGCCTTGCAAACATGTGCTTGTGTGTGCTTGGGAGGGCTTTGCCTGTTGTGTGTGCTTTGTATAGTGTTTGCCTTGTAGCCATGGAAGCAACTCATTGCAAAGGTGTTTGGAATGACAAGGCATTGACATCCAGTGGACCCATGCAACGTGGTGATGTTTCTCCTCTTCTCCATTGTGAAAACAACCAAATAAAGTCACACTCCTAGTAATTCTCTTCAGTGCTAAATCATTTTGGCTCCAGTTGGTGTTTGAGTGAACTTCCACTTTTTCCCATTATTTGCACCCATTGTCAGAAGCAAGCCCTCACAGGTCAAGTACAGTAGATGTTAATACAAAGTAAATGCCCTCTGCTCTGTCTCAGGAATGCACATTAACCCCAACTTAGAAGTGAACTGATACAAAATTTTCATTTATCCCATCAACCATCCTTTCTCATTTCTTTCTCAGTGACGCTAGTAATATGCCAGTAACCAGTAGCATAATAATGCACATTTGTTTGCCTTGGCCTGAGGCCTACTAGAGATTGGTTTTAGGTTGACTGACATTTAAATGGTCTGAAATGCTCTTCTCTGTCCAGCGCCTTGGGACATCCTCCCAACGTGAAAGGCGCTATACAAATGTAATCTTGTTGTTGTTGTTGTATTTATGTCTCATGCATCTCCAGCTTTTGTCTTTATAAAGCAGAGGCAACTGAAAGATCTCCAGAGTAATCCTCTGCTTGGCTGACCTTGGGAGAGTGTGTAGCTATGAATGGAGAATCAAGGATGTGCAGTAGCAGTATAAAAAATGCTCTTCATTCATGCTCTGCTACATTTTTGTTCCAGTTCAGCACACAGACAAGTAACCCCCAAAATCACCTGTAATCTTGTTTAAAGGGGACACGTTTCAATTGTCAGCTTTTTATTGCCTACCACACTGGTGCAGTTCTAACCACATTCCCCAGAGACTTGATGCCTGAGCAGAGATTCAGTGCAGAGATGAAAAATGACTCATGTCACTGAGAATGTATTGTATTAAACCCACATGTTTCTTGTCCAATGGAGACACATTCCACTCAACCTTTAAAAAAGTGTGAAGTCAGTAAAATTAGTCTTTCCTTTTGCGATTTGTTATGTGACATAATACATGTTGGTACGTGACATGATTTACCCAATGCTTGCAGAATTTGCCCAAGTGCACTGTGAAAAGATTTAAGATGTGTAAACAATATGTAGACAATGCTCAGAAAAGGATATGGTTCTTTGTCACACTCTCTCATTGTTAAGAAAGCTTATTGTTCAAAGCCAAATAATAAGTTAGCTTGTGGTGTACTGCTTCCAATCTCAGTATTCATTGCACGTTCAGTTTCTAGCTCTGTTGGGCCACCTTGAGGGGAAGGGAGTTCAAGTGCCTTCACTTAGTGAGAGAACCAGTCAAGCTGCACTGCTCTTGTGCATCTTGAATACCAACTGGTTCAGGAATACAATAGGCAGAGACGTAGCTCCCTTGGTGAGAGCTGAATATAATAACACTGCACTGGGATAAACTAAAACAAAACAGAATTCTAGCTTATAATGGGAGAGTGTTTTGATCAGACAATAAGTGTAGGTTTGTGCCATGACAAAGTTGTTCTGGTTTCCTTAGGTGCCATTTTAGTCTGTAAATATATTTACCTCATTACTCCTCAATATTCCCTAAACTCAGTAGTGCATGTCAGTTTGTTGAATGATTCGCTGTGTAAGGAGTTGAGAAGAAACAAAAAGATCTGCATTCTCACTTCCCCTTGAAGGTGCACTCGTGTTCCTTTAAACAGAAAATGTAAAACATTAAGGGGAGCAGGGTAAGACAGTTACAGTAGTCTTAAGTATTCATGTGTAACATAAACCACCCTCTCAATCTTTTGAAAAAGATGTTAAGCTACCACGAGCTTCTACCACTTAGTCCCAGCATGTTTAGATTTTTGGAATTATATTCAGAGTGTATTTCACACTATTGGAGACCTTTTTCTTAAGCACTCTCTCACGAGTTTCAACAAGTATACAGGCAGATATGAATTATGAACATTCAGAAACATGTCAGGCTGTAAAGATTGAAAATACTGTATTATTCATAATATTGAGGAGTCAGACCTTCTCTCCCTAATGTTTTTTTCAAGAATCTATTTTCAGTGACACTAGTACTGGATATTCTGAACAATTTTGATGAAAGTTTGCTACACTTTGTTGATATGAATGCAATGATATCTGGCGTTCATGTAAAAGCTTTAATGCTTCCTATTGATGGCACCTCATTAAACTGCACTTGCTTCAACTATTCTGGGGGATCTATTTCCAGCCCACCAGCTTCACATACAAGGAAATGTTGCATTGGTGCAGATGGTGACGATGCCCCGCTTATACTTGTAATCCTCAGTGTACTGACTTTCATGTCAAAATGAGCATAAATCATTATAGAAACAGTAATTATATGTAAATACAGGTCTGTGTGTGTGTGTCTGTGTGTGTATAGGAGTTGGGGGTGGTGAGAAAGGGAATGGATGAGAGAATACATGGTTTCCGAAGTTGTCTACTATACACTTTGGAATGAAACTGCTGAACTGCACTCTCTCTGTCTGTCTACATTCATACTCATGTACATCTCACAGCAGTGAGGTCCTCATTTCTGCCCCATGTAGGAGAGTGATACGTTCAGGACTGTAGTATGTCAATGTGTTGTTGTGACTGCAGGGGCAGGTGAGGGGGTGGCTTTAACATCACCGTTTGAGTTATTGTGGTCAGTCATCAGTGGTATCACTGGAGTTTGCTCTGCCCATTAGTGTTAGTATGATAAATCAGTGGTGTCAAATAGTGTGGTTAGTAGTGTTAATAGTGCGCTCACTAGTTCCTGGAGTTTCAATGGCGATATGGCTAGTGATGAACAATGTGGAGCATAGGATGAATTAGTTAGGAGTAGGAGTGGTGTATGGAAGGTTGGAGAATATGTGCCAAAGAGTGGGTTAGTAGTGCTAGTTGTTTAGCTATTACTCCATTAGCTCTACCAGATGTAGCCTCCGTCATCAGCCTCCCCAACCTCCCCCTCATCCTCCTCTATCTCTTCAGTGTTCTCTTCTGTCTCTTTATCTTCTTCATCCTCCCAGCCGACTCCACTGCCAAAGTCACCAGAAAAACTTATCACATCATCTGCAAACAGGAGGAGAAAAACAGGTTCAAACCTAGAGCTACAAGATCTAGGATCATGGCTACCAGGAAGAGTGAGGTGTACACACTCAGGGTGCAGAGAAAGGTAGAACATGAAATAGGACAGCAAGAGATGAAGAACAGGAGGCAGGAAAGTAAGCAAAAAAAGCCAAGCAGAGGACAAGAGGAACCAATGGCAAGAACAAAGTAAGGAAAGGAGCAATGGGCTTGTCTTTTGTAGAATTTCATTGAGACACTGTTTCGACCTGTTGTTCGTATAGTCCAACACTAAAGATGGTAGAAAACACATGCCCATTTGAAGTAGTCAATCTTCCAGTAATCTATGTTTTCCTTGTTAAACTTCAGGTTGCCATTCAGATTACGACTGTGTGCTTGTCATACAGTTTAGTAAGCAGGACATGACTCTGAGTTTAAGATTTTCATATGGTCTCTGCAGAATTTTAAAACAAAGTAATAGTTACCACAGTCAGGATTCCCTCGTGTACGTGTTCCAGTCACCTCACTGCCGTGCTGATCCACACACCAGCACTCGCTAGAATAGGGATCACATTGCAGTTTTCTATAATATCCATCCTCATCACAGCTGGGAATGTAAGTGCCTGCAAAAGAGATCGATGGCTTACATGTAGAAGACAGCACAGAAGCATCTTTAGCCTGGAAAAGAGTTGTCTCAGAAAGAATCTTAATTATAGGCATTTAAGATGCTCATGGAGAAAGTAAATCTAGGACGATATTTTCAGATACACCGAGGCAGCAGAACAAGAGGAATAGTGCATTTGTTGGGGACCAAATTGTGTGGGTTTTACCTTTAGCAACTGAGAGGTTTGTGTTATGGGTGGAGTGGGTGTGGGAGGAGACAGTAACCAGCCTGTCACAAAGAACTCTTTGGCAAGTGTGGTTTCATTAAGTGAATAGTATCCACTGTACCTGTCTAGTTACATGTGTGTGTGTGTGTGTGTGTGTGTAATATCACTTATTTGGAACTACCTCTGCTAAAAAGGATTTGCATTGGGTCTATTTCATTTATCAGTGGTTGTGAGTTAGTTGTATGTATTTCTGAGTGCCAACTGTATAGCAACAATTAGTCAATTTCTTTCTTCGCCATGATACGGTGCTACATTAAATGCAAGGATTATTATGAAGAATATTTGTTAGCCCAAAAGCTGATGCTGTCTAATATTTTGGGTAGTTGAGTAAAAGGAGCGGCATGGGTTATAGATCATCAAGTTGCAACAAGTGGTATGAATCCTGCAATGGTGAGCTAAAAATTAAATGAATGCTGTTGACATTGCACAGGAGATCCACCTCTGGCAGGAGTTGGTTAATTTAAATTACATGTTAGCCGCTACTCCACTTTCCCTCCACTCCCACAACCTCATTGTCGAAGCACACAGGCAGGTCAGTAAAGTGTTAAAGTAACATCTTTGTTCACAGCAGGAGGCACAAGTCTTTAGGTAAACATGAATTCAAGTTGCTCCACAAATGACTAACTTCTAATGTATTTGTACAGGGGTTCAGTGTGTGCTGTAAATCTTCTCTTAACTCCAACCATTTTTTAAACTCTTTTAAAAAATGTTTTTCCCCACTTGTACTAAGCCCTTCCTCCAGTGCCAAGGATAGTTCTCTGAATAATAGCAGGCAGTCAAGCCAGGAACTTGCCTCTAGGCTTTCAAAAGGTCGGGTGAAGGTTTTACTGTGAAGAGCACGTAACTGCTTATTGAAGCAAAAAAATAACTGCTTGTGTCCTACCAAATGTGCAACTCACAGCGTGTAAATGCACTGGGTCCACCAGACCATCTCCATACACAGATTTCTCTGTGAATGTGGAACCCAGAAATGTCTAAAGTGTATAATAAACAAGATACCAAAAATCTGTTTTATAAATTAAGATCTGTTTTGATACCTGCTTCTCTATTTTATAATGTGACTAAATATTAATTGAATTTCAATGATTTCTCAGCCACTGCAAGACTCACACCAGAACTGAAGCCCTGATCTCACCCCTCATTCCACACCCACCCCTCCCCCCCCACCACCCCACCCGGTCTGCCATCTCATATGTTGGTTCCAATTCAGCTTAGGTTTGCAAAGGCAGCATTTTTATGAGTTGTTTAATCTGGGGTCTCCATTGCTCCATGATTCCTATTAAAATAATTGAATGTGTTTAAACAGGGTAATCTGGCATTGCTTTATGACTCTTGTGAGCCAGTCGCAGGGACACGTTTGACGCCAACAAGTTAAACAGTCATCAGTTCTTATGGATTATCTCTTGAGGTTTGCAAGCGGGTTGTAGAGATAAACTATAGAAATGCTCTAATCTATGTCTCAATTTACTGGGGTTTCAAACATCTGAATCTGCAAATAACCAGTTCTCCTTATGCAAATTATTAACAGTCAAACCTCCCACAATCTGCACTGACGTCTGAGCACTTTCCAAATCCAAACCACTTTATGCACAATATGGTCCTACAGACAGATGAATAAACAATTCATCTGGAGAATTATTGGCCAGGGATGAATGCCCTTCCCTTTTCAAAGGTACCATGGAATATTTAACGTCCATCTGGGATAGACAGATGGGACACCAGTTTGCAGTTTCAGTCACAGAACAGAACCCTGATATTGCAACACACTCGAGCACTGTATTGGAAAGTCCCAACATTGGGGCAAAATGGGGAAGGAATATTTTGGAACACTTAATTCAGAATCCTTCTCAAAGCCTTTTTAAATGGAAACATTGGTACATGGTCTCCCCCGGAACCTGGTCAGCGTTGAATATCATGTAGTAGGTATTTCGTTTTTTTAAATATCGTGCAAAGCCAGGATAGGATGTTCCTCATCTGCTTATTTGGACAGCAGTATTCATTCAGATCAGCCTATTTCTTTGAAATGAGCACTTGCTGGGAGACATAAAGTCCCTAATAGTGTGGAAAAATATGCTGTTTCCTGCTGAGGTTGTGGAAGCCACTCACCAGGTACCTTCCGTGCTGCTTCTTGCAACTGAATCCTCTCCAGCTCAGCCAGGCAGGGTGGTTCTATGGGAACAGGAAGAAGCATTATAACAGAGCAGTGAAGCCAAGGAAGAAAGCAGAAGATTAACACTTGAGAGGCCCCAGTTTTACAAGACAACTACCCAGTTATTAAATAAATACACTAGGATAGAACGACATTTTGCATTTACATAGATTATATACAAGCTTACAATATGTTACAGTACGTCTATGAAGATTAATCCGTGATATCACAATGCAACAAAGCATGCAAGAAAAGCCTGTTCAACCATTATCTTCCTACTCTCTGCCCTGCCCCTGACTACTCAGTTGGTTAAAAGCCTGCGGGAAATTTCTGGAAACTTTCCCACACCCTTCCAGTTTATACAGTAAAACTCTAACGTATGTAGCTAACCATTATAACTCAATTACTCTTTGCTGCTGTTGTGTATTTGTGTCCTGGTAACATTGTTACCAGAACACAACTACAAAAAAATAATAAATGGTCACTTCAATCCACGACTGTTTGTGGGACGCTGCTGTGCACAATTGGCTGCCGCGTTTCGCCCACAAAATATAGTCAATTCATTTTACAGTATATTCTGTGAAGCGCTTTGAGACGTCTCGAAGACGTGATGAGGCGCTATATCAAATGCAAGGATTATTGTTATTATTATTATTGCTGTTAAAACATTTGTATTTTTTGCTACCTTTCCTCTTTCTGTGCCACGGATATACATACACACCACTATTCCAAGCTGAGAGGACAGCCAGGGCTTTGCAACTTGCCACTAAGAGGTGTACCCCACCAGCCTGGGCAGCAGTGCTCTCAGATTTCTTTCTCTCTGGCCTGCACTTAGCAGCTCTCTGCTATGGGGCAGTGCTGGCAATTCACCAGGCACTGAATTGTAGGCACAGACTCACAGATCACTCTGTGGTGTATTTGCTGCTCTAGCACCAGGCATTAATTCACTGGTGTCAGTAACTAGAGGCTCTGGTGTAAAACTGGGGGCCAAGACACAGTAGAAGTGTAAGATCCAGTTTACAGTTACCTTCTCTTCACATTTCCAACACATCAATTCACACTAATATTTCACTTTAAAAAATGGTACCCCCTTCCCACCACCATTGTTTCTCCTCAAGGTGGATTATTATTCCACAGTTACTCCCTCCCTACCCTCCTCACTCCCACTACCAGCTTGGTTGCCCAGCCGATATTGTCCTCCCAGACATGAAAGATGCAATATAAACATAAATTGTATTGTACTGACTGCGCTTGTTTAATGGGACATTTTTCATGCATGAGGCTGGGCAATTAATGCTTGCAGGCCTCTGAACAGGCATAGCTTCTCTCTCCAAAACATCCTCTCTCCTCTCTTTTCCACTGAACATGCTCATGAACATGAACATACTCATGTACACGCAACCAGCCCTTCAATCTGCCTCTCTGCTTTTTGTCTACCTCTCACTCATGTGCTGCTCTGATACCATAGCGCCACGCACACACACATGCAAGCAACACACACAAACACACACACTCCTGCCGTTCTCCAACGTACTTTCCCTCCAGAAGCAGAAGCACCACTCGGCGGTGGAAACCCGTCCATCTCTGTAAGTGTCACAAGAGTTGAAGAAAGGTCGCACACAGACTTCATACTTGTCCAGATTGATGGCTGCCAGCTCCATCTGATCCAGAAACAGGTCAGTATTGCTATCCAGTCTGGTAAACATCCAGCCAATCGAATCCCTGCAGCTGGCCATCAGGCTCTTGTCCAGCACTTTCAGACAGAGAGAAGGACAGACATTGTGAGGAAGTGAATTCACAATCTGGAGCTAACCCATCACTTCCCCCCCCCTCCCAAAAAAGAACTATTTTTGCTGGAACAGAGAAGATTAAGAGGGGAAACTAATCAGGTTTTCAAAATCCACAAAATTTATGAGAAGATGTGAGTTCGTAACAAAGGGCCATAAAGTCTGCTTTGTCACACCAAGAGTACGATAAGTTCTTTGATTCTATGTGGAATGATTCAAAAGCTGCAGTAAAATATTTCCTGAAAGACTCAACTAAGTTTACCAGTGAACCTGGTATTTTTTCTTGTCTTACCACTGGCTGTCCTCGCAAAAGGACTCCCTGAGTTGTTCTGTTTGGCGTTTTCATGCAGCAGTTGAAACCAATCCCTGAGCCGATCTCCAAGATCTGCGAGATCCTGCCCTGTACAGCTTTCTAGAGAGAGAGAGTAATTTTGCAATAATGGACTGGTTGATATAGTTCATAAAATTTACACACGAGCAACAATGAATGTTTTAACTCAACCCGATCTGCACAAATTACTTTTGAATTGGGTTTTGTAAGAATATTGGTTAACCCCTGCACCACAGGACGATGATGAGATCCTACCCATGGTGAGACCCCTATCTCTAACAGATCATTGGGGAGTTGCCAAGTGGATGTTGCCAAAACCTGGTCATGAAAGGTGTCAGATCACATTCAGACTGTTTGTAGGAACCAACCTGAACTCAACACATCTCCTCTCCACTGACTGTGGTCTGTGACTTCATCTTGTCTTTGGGATGGTATCAATTATTTACCTGGTTTCTTCTCTATTTCGGCTGTTAGCACATGTCCTGTTGGACATGGACACTGGCCTTGGCACTGTTGAGTGAGCTGTTTTCCAGTCAGACATATCTGCTGCTCCAGTTTACACTATCATAAGAAGGGGAAAAGGAGAGAGCTGAGGTTAGAAGTGAATTGATTTGACCTCAGCCAGACCTGCTTATTCCATCAAGAAGGAGTGTTGACATAAAGTTGTTGATTTGTTGATTAGGTTCTCAGCTGGTTAGCTGAACACCGCATTTATAGTTTATTTATTTTCCAAAAAAAATTCTTCCATTGTTCTTCCTCGAATGCAGGTGGCAATATGTGCTGACTCCACAGCAGCAAAGTTTCCTCAATTCCTCAACCACATCACCACCAGTTTGATGAAGATTGTCAACACCAGCTTGTTGAAGCAGGCTTGATGTGCCTCACTTGTGTGAAGCACCTTGAGATGTTTCAACACGACAAGGCACAATATCAAATGCAAGTATTTTTACGGTATTATTTTCATCTGTGGCTATAACTGTATTGGAATGTACAGCTATCATCTGGTCAATACTGGGCCAGTTTGAAAGGCTGGACCCAGCAAGGTCCCTGGCCAGCTGCTCTACTTTTAATTAAATCTGATGGGAAAATATTGCTAGTTTTTTAAAATCTAAATTTGGGTGCTTGAATTATACTCTTTATATTTGTTATTGTTGGGATTTCAACTATTTGACATTAAATGTGGAAATCCCACTCCATTAAATTACAGGCTTGAGGAACTGAGCACATTGTCTACCTGCGATGTGTACGTATTTCCATCTGAGCCACACACTGGGGAAGTCTGCGTCATGTGGCATGGCTTGCACACGCTTTCCACATGCCCCTGGGGTTTCGGTGAAGACTGTTTGATTCTAAAACAAACACAAATTAGCAGTAAGCAATGCATTAATTGAACCACAAGTTCTCACTCAGGGATCCCCAAAACTCCTCTCCAGTTCAAACACACAGAGGCACTCTACAGGAATGTAGAGAATGATGTGAGGGAAACACAGTTCTAACCTGTGCTGCAGCTTCTTGCGACTGATACACATGGCTCTCTGTGGGCCCTGTGAGATGCACACCTTGTGTCGGCTGCACTTCACCTTCTGACAGGGATCTTGGTGGGGTCAAGACCTGCGGAAGGAATTGTTTGACAGTGAGTTAGTTCTAAATGTCCTTAAAAATAGAACCGAAAATCACAAAAGGAGAGAATCCTTTCACAATCTGTCTGCAGAAACTGCTAGGCTATCTAAGTTTTAGAAACAGTTTTAGGGCTGACACTGATAAGAGTATTCCTACGGCCCAGGGCTGTGATCTTCCTATGTTCACGATGGTTCACAGCATTATGTGAATACGTGAATGTTCCTCTGTATTTGGTACAAATATCTGTGTTGAAATGGCTGTACATAGTGCTGAAAGCTATGGGTAATTCCCTTCCTCAATGCATTTCCCTTCCCTTCCCTCCCCTCACCCTGATCATTTCCCCCCTGCTCGGGTCCTGACCCAACTGTACAGCATCTTGGGAGGTCCTCCCGACGTGAAAGGCGCTCTATAAATGGAATCTTGTTGTTGTTGCATTTAGTGCTGGGTTACTACTTCCTACTTCATGCAATATAAAAAAAATATATATAAATTATTAAAAATGGCTTTTTTTAAAATAAAACTGAACAGATAGCTTCCGTGATGGCTGAACAAATGTATTCGGTGAGTATCAGAGCCACACATCAGGTAGATGCCAGGATCGATCCCCAAATTGTACGTGATGCCCTCGGAGGTTATTCGCTACGATGAATTCCCTTTTTTTTCTCAGCAATGTCATAAAAGAGGTCATTCAAACTGACATATTTCATCAAAAGAAGTATTCCAGCAGTATAAGAGAAATTAATTCCTGCCCCAGGTACTGTGTGCAGGAGCTGAAGCAGACTCCGTACACACTTACACTTGCTTATCACCGAGTAAAAAGCAGACCACAGGCTTTCTTATTCATTATTGACTGCTGAGAGTTACAGGTTGCAGATATATAGAAAATTGTACATCAGTATCGTGTTGAATTTGAATGCCGCAATCAACAGTAAGTAGGAACCCGGTTGTTAGTCAGTTGGCAGATCATTTTTCTGGGGGTAATAATCTCTTAAAAAAATAAAAAATAATAATAATTTGGTCACTCAATCCATGACTGTTTATGGGACACTGTGTGCAATTGGCTGTGTGCAATTGGCTTCCGCGTTTTGCCCACAAAATACACGGTTACTGCACTTTACAGTATATGCTGTGAAGCACTTTGAGATGACTCAAAGACGTGATAAGGTGCTGTATCAAATGCAAGAATTATTATTATAACAATAATGTATTTTGTATTACTGGGAGTTAACACTGCATTGCAACATTTCTATCACACGTACAACCACACAAACACAGAATCACAGCCACACTTCACAAATACACAGTGTTCACACTTTCTTCACCAGATATTGCAATCACAGTTACATTTACGTCTTCCTATTGTCTTTATTTCCTTGGTCTGGCCCTACTTCCCTCCTCTATTCTATCAAGTGGCTTGTCTAGCCCATTCATTCCTGTTTAGATGAAGGATCAGTCTGAAACATTAACCCAGCTTTCTATTTCAATTGCTGATTTCCTGAGATAATTTTCAAGCTTTTTCTTTTTTTCTCATATTTCCACCAGTCAGTTTCTTTTGATATAGGTCCTTATCAAATTGTCAGAACGTCTCAAAATGCTTCAAAGGATTTGATATAAAGTCCAACAACTGTATAATTGTAGGCAAACTCGGCAGTCAATTCACGCACAGCAATGTCTTACAAACAGCTATGAAATGAATGACCAATTTTATGTCGGATTGTTGACAGTTCTAACTAAACTGTTTGTCTTACCAACAGAAATCTCACTATGAATCTTGAAATCTGATATTTGCAATTGGAGGTTGCTATGAGTGACTCGTATCTGGATTCTATTTCTGACCCCAATGTTTAAACAAGCTGGTTGTCGACTGACTGTGGTGTTTTAATGATTGGAGCTCTGGATAATATAATGAGGTGGCACAGATTTACCATTTGACTTTTTAGATGAGATTGGTGACATTTGTTGAATGTCAGAAATTCTGAAAAGTAGTCAACGAACTAGTGATATGAAATTTGTTGCAGAAAGAGGCTGCTTGTGGTTGACAAGTGCCAGTTTGTGGTTGACAAGTGCCAGTGCAACTCTGAATACGGATCTTGAAACAGACTCATATTCGCACCAGATATTTTGGATTGATGCGCACACCAGATATTGGGGATTTCAGGATGAGCCTTATATATAACATAAACACTGCGTTTATGTAACGGGAACCCCGTGATTTCTATAGAACAGGATTTCTCCAGTTATTTGCTGCAATGTTTTATTAAAATTGTCTCTTCAGGCTTAACAACCTGTATGTGAGAATTATTTTGAATTCCTGAATCACACAGTAGTTAGGGAAAGACGTCACACCCATCCAAAGGCCTGTATGCCGCATTGCACTGTAGGATTAATGTCAGCAGAACTGCCAAGGCTTCAATCAGCACTGTACTGCAGTGGTATGTATAATGCTGAGATCTTGCTATACTCCCAATGGACTGGGATGCTGCTTGGAGATGGAATTGTTGACAGGGTGCATCTGTGTGGGATGATATATCTGATATGCAGGTCTATTTGTACTATAATTCCTTCACTCTGATCCTGTTTTTAAGGTTCCCAAAGGCACCATTATAATGAGGGGTTATTCTCTGAATTAATACCCTACAGAAAAAATAGACACCAATTACCATTGTCCCTATTATAAGATCTGCTGTTACCTGATCAGATACATTTTGCAAACTGCCACTCATCAGCGTGTGCTGTCTCTTAAAGACTTGAATTTAACCCTTTGAGGAGTCGGAGAGGCTTTTTCATCTTTTTTCTACAGACAACTTCCACTGAGAATGCCATAATGTAGAACTAGGTCGATGTTGTGCTGATTATACTTTGTGATGGTGTGTAAAATAGGGAGCCAGCCGAGTCCTGGTAACTTGTTGTAAAGTTGCAAACTCTATGGATTTTGTTTAATGAAAAATGCTTCACAGAAGATGTTGTTAAAATTACTCAGTAACTGCTTACTCTTGTGCCTCCGACACAGTTGGGGAACACAGTGGCTGCGTGTTGGGAACTGTGGTGGAAATGCAGCTAACTATCGCTTATACATCTTGACGGCAAGACGTTACCACTGTCTGTCCCAGGAAGTGGGTAACTGTGTTGTGGGTAACTCACTCAGTGGGCTGCATTGCAATGTTTAGCATCACTGGCAATGTGCCATTAAGTGAGAACACAGTCTGCAAATCTATGAAAAACAGGAGTCTTTAAACTTTTATGGCTTCATTAAATAATCATTAGGATCCGTGTTATATAGAGGAGTAACTGGGAATATATTTGCAGCTAAAAGATTTTAATGGTGTCTAATGCATACACATCACTCCTTACCCCACTATTTTCTAAAGATTATATCCTTGTAAATGGCATATTCAAATAACAGAATACGGATATCATCTTTCCTCAAAGGTTATCTCTATCTCTGATGTCAAGCAGTCATTGCTCTTCTGTGCCCATTAAATAACTTTCTCCATGGTAACCAGCAACCTACTTGTCTTCATTCTGAGGCACTGGCTATTTACTGTGTTTTTATAAGAGAAACAATGGGGAAAAATAGTTAACAACAGCCTCTGGATATATAATATACACAATAATAGAGCCTTATATATATTACACACAATAACAGCTCCTCACATGTATTAAACACAACCGCCCTCACATTTAATGGACCTAATAACAACTACTCATATGCATTGTAGACCATAAGAGCCAATCGTAAGTATTACACAACACTTTGCGCTTATATTTATATAGTGTCTTTCACATAAGGGGAATGGCTCAGAGAACTTTGCAAAGGCGGAGGTGAGCCAGAGTTGAAAGGGAGATTGGGGTGGGGGAGTAGGGGGTAATTGGCCAAAGCCTGGTGCAGTCAAAGAGGTAGATTTTAGATGAGTTTTGAAAGCTGAGGGGGTGGGGGGTAGGGACTGAAAGTTCACTTGTCAATGGTGCAGTGGAACATGCGGGAGCATGAAGTACACCAGAGTTTGGCAGAGTGGAGAAAGTGGCCAGGTGAGTAGGGTCAGAAGTAAAGTTGATCTACAAGGGAGATAGGGAGCCACTAGATCAAAGCAAGGATGGAGATGATGGACTTGCTGAGCCAGCCCAATACGAAAGAGGATGTGGACTGCAGAGTTCTGGATAGTCTGGAGTTTGTGGGGAGAAGAGCTGGATAGCAGTTAAAGTTAAAGCTGGAACTTTCCAGGTCACTGTATTTAACTTCACTAATAAGTAGCTTGATAAAAGTTTGAAACACCAGGAAGAGCTCCTTCAATCCAACCAACCTGCAGTTCTTTCCCGCTGTCCTCATTACCAAGGCTTGTTTATACATTGTTTAAGATTGTTTTTAACCTTTTGTAAAGTTCCCGTCTGTCTCTCTTGCTTCCGTTTTTTTGGCACAGAGACCCGTTTCTGGCCCAACTTTTCACTAATAGAATCAGACAGTAACTAGAGTTGAACAATGCTGGCCTTAGAAACTTACTCATTTCTCTGTTTGGAAAGTTTCTGCCTGTCACTGTGCTTGGCCATGTGCAATTTCCTCATTGTTGTGTCAGCCTTGTCTTCTCATCTTTTCAAACACTGTGCCTTTAGTAACAGGGGTCAGCTTGCATGGCTATTCACCCCCACTGTCGGCACAGAATTTTATGTCTGCACTTAGTTTTAAGTTGGATTGTGAAACACTCGTCATGTTTTGCTGTCTCCAACACACTGTGCCACAAAGATACAAGATGTTAGCCCTACAACTCATGTATCTCTTAGAGGGCGAATTTCTCTAACTCAGTCAGACCAGAGTTTGTGAAGTGTAAACGTGTGATAGAGGTGTTTTCATGCATCTCCTCAACACTGACTATAGAATGAAATTGGCAAAGAACCTAAAAACAAATCACTATCTGTCTTGTCATCCAGAGTTGGTTCATCAGGGAAAGTATTTTTTATTGGACCTGCCTACAAAGTGATTCCTGAAAATATCCAATATAAATTATTCTGACTTGAAAGGGGCTATACAAATATAATTTTGTATTTTGTGTTCACAAAAGATGAATTCTATCTTGTGTCAGCCCTTTGAATCTCCCGATTAATTTATAGGGTCTGTGGATCCTGTTCACAGTGACAAAGCACTTTGCTATATTATGTTAAATTACCCCCCACCCATGTCTATTTACTTAGCTTTGGGACGTCCTCCTGACGTGAAAGGCGCTTTATAAATGGAATCTTGTTGTTGTTGTTGTTAGCTCACCACTAAGAACGACTGTGGCTTTGCTGAGGTTAGACAGCACAACCACTCATCATCATATTGTGTAGCACAACTGCTAAAAACTAACCATTCATTCGCACCTGGGATTTCCTCTGCTCATGTTTCAGTGTCAGATCCTGTGCATATTCTAGATATAGATGTACTGTATGACTTGTGTACAACCGATTAGCAGTGAGGTAAAAATGTCTGATACTGTGTGCTTGCAGCATGGTTCATTGTCAAATCCATTACACACTGGGTAAAAGCTAACAATCCACTCACAGTGGGGTCTGCATGACTCATCTTACATCTTGTACTGCATTTAAACTGCATGTTTGTCAGCAGATCCCTACAGTTTGGCAATGATTTGCCACTAACTATACAATGTACACAGAGGATGAGCTAATGTGAATTGCTTTAAGGTCCTGCTCGTGGGATCAACTGGAGGAGATAGTTCCAGGAGGCGTGTACTTTGCACCCACAGTAAATATAAAATCACGTTCCACTCGTTCTCCAGAGGCCTGTCAAAAGCAAATACTCTCCGTGATCCTGACCCCCAGTTCGGGTCCAAATCCCTAACTGTCCAGCGCCTTGGGATGTCCTCCTGATGTGAAAGGTGCTATACAAATATAATTTTGTATTGTATTGTAAATGGGCTGCTCATTGAATGGTCTAACAACCTTCAAAACCTTTTTTGTGAAGTTATTGATATGGCCCCCTTAATAACATTGAAGACAAGTACCTGATTCCAGTGTTCACAACATCACAAGTGAAGTTTGTATTGAAGTATCAGCCGAGACTTAGTGTTAAGTCCTAACATGGGGCTCAGATGCGAGAATTCTACCAACTGAGTCAGGCTGACATCTTGTCACTATCTAGTCATTCCACATGGCGCCTGCCTCCTAACATTGACGATCATTCAAGTGCCAAACATTAAAACCTGATGTAAAAAAAAAATTCTGACTGGGATCCTCAGCGAGGTGGAGAGGGAAGTATAAATTTGACTTCACTAAACTGTCAGGAACAAAACTGCATCACTTCCAGTAGCACAAACACAGCACGAATGTCACACCTCTTCATATAGCATCCGCTGGGTAACAGTTAACAAATGGCTCCTGTCTATCGCTGTAAAGCTCAGATGCATCTGTGCCAAACTGTATATATGTAAACCTCACCCTGGGTGCTGCAAAGTAACAATTCATCAACACCTGGTACTGTGTGATTTGTTTGTGCCTAGTTGTCAACTGCTGTTGGGAATGCAGTACATACTGGGTAAAAGGTTAACCATTCTTGCTATTACTGTACAACTTGTGCCTTGTCTCACTCGCAACTCCTGAAAATGCAATGCTGTGATGTGTAAAATAGATTTATTCTTTCATTACAAACTGAATGGAGAGGCAGAACGTATCTAATTGAAATAAAATAAGATGTCTCATGTTGTTATACTCTGAAATGTCAAAAACAAAGAGAACAGAATTTCTCCCACATCTTATTATGATGAATGCCTGCCCAGACCTGTTACTGTACAGTAGCAACCTCCTAATCCTATACGTACTCATAGTCTCACATTTTGTCCACTAAATATGCAGTCAATTTGCTTTACAATATATTCTGTGAAGTGCTTTGTGATGTCTCAAAGACGTGATAAGGCGCTATATCAAATGCAAGGATTATTATTTCCCTGTCACAATTCTGGACAGCGTACACAATTTACTTCTTCATTGCTCTCTCCTGACTCTTCCTGGGGTAGGATTCCATGAGCATAAGTGCCCCCCTCCCCAGTATCATACCTCACCCAACAGCTTATTCTTCCCATGTAAGCCTGGACAGTTAGTATTTGCAGACGGCTCAGTTATAGGGGTATCACAGCCAAGCCCAATCCCGTTCTCGCCCAGCATCCACAGACGGGCAGGTTTCAGCAGAAGTTATTAGATGGTGATAAGATAAGGGATATCTTGATATTTTGGTTTTACTGCTTATTGTGCCTTTAGCCACTGATGTCTGTGCAACAGAGGCCTGGGAGACAGAGGCTTCAACACCTTTTTGCCAGGCAGGGTGTGTTGGGATATCATAAAGCAGAAAAGAGAAAACTACATTAAGGGATAAATACAACACCAAATCTCAAGAAAGAGTCATATGAATCCACATTAATCTGAAAGAAGCAGAGACCCAGTGCAACCTCTGCTGTCCTCCTGCTCACCATTGAAGAATGACGATTTACACGTACGTGGTTGCATTCTGTTGCTACCATTCTGTGTTATTTCCCTCTGTCTGTTGCTGCCTTTGCCTTGGAATTAATGGACATTTAGGATACTTCAATCTCTCAAAGCCCTGCTCATTCAGCCCTGCATCAATCTCTAGTCTTTGACTGTTAAAAGATAAGCCCTGGTTTACTCTGTGCACTCAGATCGATTTCTGGCAGGTAAGAAAGACAAGCAATCAAAACACCAGGTTACATGGAGCCCAGAAGCTCAGCGGTCAGTGCAGACATTGATCTGTTTCCCTTTAGCAGATGTGATTGCTTTGTGCTAATCTGTGTCACCGAGTAGCACAGACAGAAATATAATGAAGCAGAAACCAAGCTCTGCAGAGGGGGAGGAGATTAGAATCAATTCATAATTTCTACCCAGACGCCTCCTCATTCTCTCTTCAAACAGATTTAGCCTCTGCCCTCAAATGGACCCCTGTTAATGTGAAATTTGATTAAAAAAGGCCGTACAACTTGGATTTATATAGCGCCCTCCACGCTGGACAACAGTATTGGTGCTGGGGACACTGTAACTACCTGTTCCCAGCCACTCACAATTGCACTGGGCAAAACTTCCTACAGGGAAGACACAAATAACTCAGCATCACTTTACTTTTCTTGACCTGCTGAGAGTCTGCCACAAAGCTGACTCAGCTGGCTCCATGGTGTGCAATGTAACTATTTCTAGATATGCTTTTAAATAAAAATAACATTTGAAATCTGAGATTGGAGATTAATCTACTAAATGGTTTTATGGGCATGGACTGCCTTGCTTACCCATAACTAAGGCATAAGCCAGATCATTAACAATTCCAGTTTTTATTGCAAGCAGACAAAATGCGGACACCGAGGTTCACTGGACTCTCCTCTCGGGAAGCAGCAGAGAACAGCTACCTCTAAAGCATATAATAATAATAATAATAATAATAACAATAATCCTTGCATTTGATATAGCGCTTTTCACGTCGGGAGGACGTCCCAAAGCGCTTCACAGAGCACACTGTAAAGTGAATTGACTGTATATTTGTGGGCGAACGCGGCAGCCAATTGCGCACAGCAATGTCCCACAAACAGTCGTAGATTGAAAATGACCAATTTTATTATTGTTTTGGAGGGTTTACTATTAGGCGTGTGGAGTAAGGAAACTTGCCCAAGGTTTCGCAATATATCTGCAATAGGGTGTGGAATAGATGCATGGTCTGGTATAATTATATAGTTTCCATTCATTGCACCAGAATTCATAAGAAGTGCATAAACACTCCTCTCTCCCACTCTGCATTCCCTGGACAAAATCCCTTTTGTGGGTGGAGCAGGGAATACGGGATGAATGTTCACTCCAGACACTGTGAATGCAGTCTTACATACTGCATTGCAACCAATCTTTAGGTTTTAACATGTCTAAAAGAAGAAAGGACAGAAGAAAATGCAGAATGCACAGAAATAGATGCAAACATTCATAGATCATTTACCTGGCAACACGGCAAATAGTCTGTAGGGACTGAAAAAAAATGCAACCCACAATCAGTCTGTAGGCAGACACTAAAAATAGGAGATTCATTCCCATTAATGGCAGTGGGCACAGATACGGCAAAGGAGTCCCATTGCCCAAAGTGCTCTCAAAAGTAACTTGTGCACAGTGGAACCAACAAACATAATTGCACTTATTAGAAAAAAATGCAGAGTGAGGATATCTAATTCCACGTGATTAATAATGGTAAAGATGCACATCATTCCTTGTACTTTCTCTGCATCAAGGCTGAGAATTGCTATCTTTTTCAACAACAACAACAAGATTCCATTTATAGAGCGCCTTTCACGTCGGGAGAACGTCCCAAAGCGCTGGGTTTTCAGGCTACAATACAGGCTGTTTAAATGAAAAAAGTTTTTAAAACATCTGAATAGAGGCATAAACCCAAAGGGTTCAACAAATCCGTGCTGGTGATGTAATGGCATAGCATTTTGCAACTCCAATGTACTGTGTGTGTGGGGTAGTGGTAGGAGTCCACAATTGTTTAAGTTTTGCCAGTCTGGGAACAAGATAAGCAGAGAGCAAGCACTTCCCCAAAGGGAGGGAACATGGTTTCAGTGCCTGCCTGGGCATGAATGACAATGCCATTGTGTCATTCTCAATTGCCTACGAGTGTGTGATTTCAGAATGGTACTGGGGACACCAGATCTGTGTGCCTCTCTCAGGCAGTCTTGATCCACAGCACTGGAAAGTTGAAGAAAAGGGAGGAAAAAAATAGATTTTCACTCCTGAAAAAACAGAGAACAGCCTACATGCAACAGCTTAACCTGGTAATAGTACTTCATGTGATAATTTCCCCACATCATTACTTATTTTAGATTCAGTGTGTCAGGCAATCCGTACTGTACATTTTAACTGCAATATAAGCCTTACAATTGCAGTGGGGTAAACAGGGTTACCGGTTCCCTTCAAACTGTAACCATTTATAATAAACTCAACCCAATCCATGAATAGGTTACACACAGACATCAGCTCTCAGCCATAATTCATAAAGCTGCTTCCGACTACACATTTCCATTTCTCCTCCTGGCATCCTTGTTGCTGCTGTGTTGGATTGTTTAAATCAGGACAGTTTTGTGATGATTGCCTTAGGCTGGAACTGAAGCCAAATCCCAGAGGCCAAAGGACATTGTTCAACTCCTGATGGAGCATTTTTCAAGAGCTCAAGTTGCTGGTGATCTTGAAACTCTGATGTGTCCTTGGTCTCAAAACAGTGCATCAAATTAGTCAATACGTGCTCAGTGCTATCAGTAAAGGGACAACTCACCTTCATCAAAAGACTGCTTCTGATCCCAGCTTCGGATGTAATCATCCTGCACAAGAGAAGAATGATGATCTAAGGACTGAGAATATCATTACAAACACAAGAAACACACGCACACAAGCTCATTTTACATTCACTTCTGAAAACATTGTTTTGTTCTAAATGTCATTTTTGCTTTCTCAATTTTATCACAACAATGCAATATAAAGTGGCCCTGGTTTGGAGAGGGCAGAGAATTCTCACCTTCCCTTTATAGAAAAACCAGCAGTGTCTCACTGTGACTGAAAATACTGTGATTTTTTTTATATAGAAACGGTGGAGGATCATCATTTTGATCAATTTTTTTTCTAAAAACAGAGGGAATAAGGCATTTTGAAATAAACTCCTGACATCCCTTCCTCAGTCATTTTAGTGCACGTTTTCACTGGACCCATTCAATGGCTTGTCCATATAAACATTCTTTATGTGCAAGCTTAGCCTATGAGTGTCACACATTTACTTTCCACCAGAGGTTGGTTGAGAGAGATTTGAAGTAGGAGCCCAGTCTCATTTTTCTTTTCCAGCTCAGGGGCACTGATAACCATCAACCTCGACCTGACCACACGGATTGACTGAGGAGGCTCAAATTAGCAGTTCCCACCCTTCTTATCAATTCTTTTATGTACATGATGTTGTAAATAAAGCTTGCATTACTATAATGCCTTATCACATTGTCGAGCTGTCTCAAAGCATTCAAAGGATGTTAATAATAACCCTTGCATTTGATACAGCGCCTTGTCAACTTGCTGAGATTTCTCAAAGTGCTTCACAGAATAAACTGTAAAGTCTATACTGTGTATTTTTTGAGTAAAATGCGGCAACCAATTGCACACAGCAGTGTCCCACAAACAGTCATCGTTTGAGTAACCAAATTTTAATTTTATTTTCGGAGAGATTATTACTTCCGGAAAGTGACCAACAATCGACTTAACAACCGGGTCTCTACTTACTGCTAGGTAACTAAAGTTGTATGGAGTAAGCAAACTTGCCTAAGGTTTCGCCCCATTTGGGAATTGAACCCAGGTCCTCTCACTTGTGAGGCAAGGGACTACATGTTACTGTGAAATGTTGTGTTACATTTAGAGGCAGATCTTATTAAAAAATAAATATCACCTCTATGTGTTAATTCATTACTAATACATTTTTTTCAGTTACACTGACAACCGAAACTTGTGTATTCTTCAGATAGATTTGCTATGAAAATGTAGTGAGCACAGTATTATCCCCCATGCAAATTACAAGGTGATTATGAACCTCATGAAGAGACTGTTGCTTCTTTGCTATACATTAATTTTCCTAAAGGAAAGAAAGAGAGAAATACAGTTTAGTGCTGAGAGGGGCCAATATGAGGTAACTGCCACCCAAAAGTATGGCATGGAAACTTCATCATAAAAGTTCAGAGGTGAGTTGATAACAGTTCTCTATACTAACATCCTTTTTCTGGAAGGTGTGTGTGTCTGTGTGTTTGTGTGTGTATATAATATATATATCACAATTTATATCTAGACTAAGTGAAAGTGAACAGAACAAGGGTGCAGTTGTCATTTCTGCCTAGTTTGGCCAAGTTCTCTGTGAACAGGAAATCCATAATACAAAGGCTAATTTACAGTGTTTTCTGAACAAAAGAGCTGTGTGAGTGATCTGAGGATTAAAACATGTTTTCGGGGTTGTATTCTCTGACAGTGTTTATCACTTCAGCCACTGCCAAATCTAGGATTCTGAAACAATGGGTTCATTTACAACCATCTTGTACAATTTTCAGACTGCAATATTGGATTTAAATAAGTGATCATCTTTCACTAGGATTTTTTGGAGAGCAACGTTTTATAAATATGAGACATAACAACAAGGTATTGTATTTCCTATATTTAGAGTGCCAAATGAATATCAATTGTCCTTTGAAGGAATGAATGTATGGCTTGGAACAACAATGTTTTGGGTTAGGTGCAGCACAGAGTAAAAAAGTAGCTTTTTACCAAAATCTCAATTCCTTCCCACTTCCTCCCACCCCTCAAAAAAAACATCCATTGAAATATAAATGTAACTGGTGCCCATGCCTTGTGAAACACCATCTTGCTAAATTGCAATGTTCAGATAAGAAACTGGTTGGGTGGACAGCCATAATCCAGAATGATTCAAGAAAGTGGAAAGAGAGTAAATAACTTATAAACAAGAGGGAATTTTGGGTTCCGCAACAGTCGTGTGTGTGTGTGTGTACATGTGCGGGGGGTTGGGGACACAGGAAATACACCAAGTAATTTCCAATTTATTATTCTTTTCACATATCTGTCCATACCTGCAGTTTGTGTGTGCACACCCACAACAATGAGCACTCATAAGTGGCCTCTAGAGATATGAGCTTGGTATCCCATACATATCTGCAGCCAATCTCGTTCTGTTAGAGGTGTGTACACAGGGACACATAGCCTTAGGTAAAATGTCTACTTGAGCTAGGTTGCATTTCCAGTACTGGTTTGATCGCTGTCGGCAAAGTGGATTGCCACTCCCTTACAGTATTTGGAATCAGTTTGTCTTGTGTTTTTGTGCTTACTGCCTCTGTCTATCTCCCTGATCATGCTTTCTGCATCAAGGTCCTCTCTTTGTGAGATGGGTGAGATGGATAATCTCCCCTGGTTTGATTGCACAACTCAGGTTCCAGAATCCTTTCTGTGCTTCTGTTGAGCCGTGGGATAAGATCGTTTACTCCCTGGGATCCCATGTAACCACATTCTAATCACATAATAAAGAGAATTTATCGTTTACAATCCTTTTTATGTAAAATTAGTTTTCTCTGGCACATATTCATAAATCTCCCTCATTCTCGTGTTCTGCAGGGATGTGAAGCTCCCAACCATTCTGCTGCAGATAACTGGTTCGATCTAATTTTTATCTATTTGTTTTTTTATTTTAAGTGCTAACTGGCATGAATACTGCATATAAAATGATACTTATATTGACTGTGACAGCGCAAGAATGTGAGTTGAGGGATTTATTGCTCCCACTTAACTGCTCTCACAGATGCTGTCCTCAGTTATTTTACTGACGAAAAATACAAAAGAAGGCAAGCAAAGTGCTGGAAATGCACAGCACATCATCAGAGACTGAAACTTAGTTCTCATGAAGGGTCACACCTAGAATATTGACACAGCTTTCTCTTTCAGATGCCGATCAACCTTTTGTGTCTGTTTCCAACATTTTCTGTATTTGATCCCATCAATTGTACTTCTTTAAAAATAAGAGAGGCTTCCTCCTTTTTCTGTTGCGTTTATCCCAGCAATGGCTGCCCAGCAGGATAATCCCAAGGTCACTAAAGTTATCTGGAAATGTGTACTAAGTGTAGCTGCACTGCACCACAACTGGCCTCCTGATAAGCCAGCTTGTGTTATCGTTTAGGAATGGGAACAATAGTTCTAAGAGGTTCCACAGGGTAATAATGGGAAAAGTACTGACTGATAAAGTATACCAAAGGGGTGTTTTAATGTGATTTAGAAGTGGCCTTTTGCCTCTGCGGCAAAGCAAACTATAACAGTAAATGTATATTTCTGAATTAACTGGCACAGATTAGTACAGTAACAAGATTTGTAAAGAGAGCTGTGATTCACGAATATGCAAAGTGTAGGAGCAATTCATATTTCTAGAAAAATATAGTCTGCCATTAGTCAAGATAATTGGGGTAGTTTGGTATTAAGAGATAAGTGTGGTCGATATTATACTGCTTTTGTTATTGTGGAGTCTGCTCCTGGGAAATTTAGTGCCGTAATTGGCTTAGTGTAGTTTTTTTCCTTAATGGACCCCTGGGCTAAAGTAGCTCATCTGAAAAGTGTGTTTATTGATCACTCTTGTGCTTGGAGAAGCCATGGACACCACAGAGAGACTAATTGATGGCCAACAGTGAAGTACAAGGAGGTAATTCAATTGAACGGATCTGATAACGTCATCAATCGTGAGTCCATGCACTCCTGATTAATGCCTTAAAGAAATACCCCAGGAAAAATTCCCCAATTAATACCCCTGAGTTTGAACACATCTCACTATACATCTCTTCTCAAAATCTGTAACATTCCCATCTACCAAGTCAGGGTGTTTATTACAGCAATGCCTATCCAAACAAGCTTGTTGCCACCCTCTGCCATTCTCTAATTTTGATTCAGCTCTTGGCACGTCATTAAAATTAAGTCTAATTGTAAAAGCTACTCTGACCTCCGAGCCAGAAGATACAGCCTTCCTTAGGAAATTGCTCTGTAAACCACGGTATCAAGATGTCAATGGGAAATATTACTAATTGTACTTGTTATTTTAGGTTTGTCCTGCATTTGTGGATCAGTTGCATATATATCGCACAAGACCTAATTTTGATGCTGTGTCGATTTCAGCTCATGGCATCAATGAGGATGCCACATAATGCCATCAAGCTCACTGCCAACAGAGACACCTGTTTAGCTGCCTGGAGTGAGCGCTGTGACTGCCACTGGTAACCAATGCAGGTGTGGTGGTGAAGTTCACTAGCAGCATGTAGCCTTAGTTAATTTTCCACAGAGTTCGTGGCGGCAGGTGGCAGTGTGTGGCTCAAGCTCAATAGGCCATTGACAAGTCAGGTGCACTGTCCACTGGAACGCTCTGAAAATCAGGGCAGGAAGGGATATCAATGGGAAAGGCCAGCTCTGATATTTGGTACAGTGGTAAAAAGAAACACAGCACAATTTAAAACACTGGTAAATGTAACCTTTCGTGTTTACATGTGAAATGTTCAATGATTGTATTTACCCTATGAATTTCATTTTGTAAGCCTTCCCTGCAGCATTAGTTTAAACTATAGCTGAGTGTGAATTTCCTTCCAATTTTCACTCTGCTGGGATGGGAGCAGATGGAGGAGGTGTTGTCAGCCTTAGATCAGGGACTTTACATATGGAGGTTTGCCTTGTGTGAGCATTATTTCAACACCAGCAGCATTCCTGGACCCACCTCAGTCACCTATAATCTGTGATCTAGTGTCCTCTGTTCAGTAAATGTATTCTTCTTCCAAATCCCACTTACATAACTAGTTGTTCCTCTGACTATGTGTGCTTTCTACCAGCTAACTTTGCACAGATTGGGATTGGAATTTGCAGCCTTTTGTTCTGCAAACTTCAACCTTAAGGCCTCCTGTTGTCACCACTATGTAATCATGGAAACTTTAAATAAGTATTTTGTAGTGCTGGTTTACATGGGATGCATGGGCATTTTTGACCCGGTTCCTAAACCTGCCCTAGTAAAAAAGGACAATTTTCCAAAGAGGTGGAAATATGTACCAATATTTAATTTCTGCTGAACTTAATATCGCTGTCATTATAAATATGAGTACATGGCACAAAGAGTGGAAAAAGGCTAAATGATTACCTTTAACAGCAAAAGGATTTGACACTGGTTTCAGCTAAGGTCCTCCACAATTGTGTTTAAGTTCAGAGCATTTCTCAAAATAGTTTCAATTAGAATGAAAAATAGATTCCAATACAGTATCCTTCAGTTACTGAGATGTAGCCATGTAACAGTGTGAGATTAGTTCACTTTCATTAATCAACTGTGTGGATTTGACTGGCACCATGGACTGCTTTCACCACTCACTCCCACACAGCTGATGAACAGACAAGGGCAACAATTAGCAAAAGGGATTTAGAATCAGGGCTGTACAAGATGGGGTTATTTGATGAAGTGCTTTGAATTTCTTTTAAAAAAAATCTGGAGTCATGCACCATTAAAATAGTCAATACTAAAGTAAAACTACCACTAACCTCCACCTCCTGCCACTCAGCACACGAGACAGGGAGAAAGCATGGGAAAGAAAAATTAAAAGAAAACAATTAGCACATTAGGGGGAAATACATGGCACAAAGCCCAAAGCTTTGCGAGACAATCTTTTTAATACAAACATGTGAACAGAATGAGAGCCAATCTCTTTAATAGAACCATGTGAACACAGAGCTGGTGACCATGGCAGACAATCCCTTTAAGAGACATGTGAGCTCTGCCTGAGTCCATGGCAGACAATCCCATTAATTTAAACATGTGAGAAAAATTACCAAATTATCATATCACAATTATTAGCAAATGTTTCCCCATCAAGCTGCACTGATCAGGTATCACAAACCCATAATACAACACACAAGAAGATCAAAGATATAACAAAAGGGAAAGAACAGAGAAATGGGATGAGAGTGGATAGCTGCAGTGGTGAGCGAGCACAGCACAAGTGTGATGGGCAGAATGTTCCTCCTACACTGAAATATTTGTTATTCTGCATTAAACTCGACTCTGATGACCCTTTTCCCCTCCCCCAGTTTACGGTTAAGCACTCCACTGACCTCCCTTTCTAGGCTAGCACACAAGTGGTATGGACATCTAGATGAGATAGCAGAGAACATTTTATACCACAGTCAAGAGAGGAAGGAAAATAAGAGCATAAAATATAATCAAATACTGGTAGTGAAACCACTTCACATAGTGCTAGGAGGTGCTGGGATTCAGTTCTCATAGTCAGCCTGCGTACCTTGGGGAGGTAGGAAGTGAAAACAGGTGCTTCCCCTGCAGGGAGATCATAGGAAGACTCATCTGTTTGAAACATTGACAGCATGTCAAACGATCCTGTAGGTGAAATGATAACTAACAGGAGGTATACACTGAATATATTACCACTGCAGTGAGTTAGCAAGTTACTGAGGAACTGACATAACCACTACCCATTCAGCAAAGATATAAAATATAATGCAGATGGTGCATTTCTGAGCAATCTATATCCTGAAACCCAATTATAATCCTACAGTGTCAACCACATAATGTCACCTCCTCAAGGTTCAATGCAATCACCATCTTTGTGGCACACTCACACACGTCATGAGGGCTCTTACTCAAACTTGGCCTGGTCATTGCAAAAACTAACAACAGGAGGCAGGGAGTTTGAGAGAGCAATTTCAATCTTTCTTCTGACTGAAATCACGTGAACTTGACTCTTGTGGATTTTGGTCTTGTGAGAAGTGTATTGACAGTGTTGCCACGTGATTCACTATCAACCATTATATTTGTGGCATAGGGCATAGTTGAGTTGCAAAATATTATTGACTCAACCATGAATATGCAATTGTCCAGCTTAGTCTGCCTGGCAGGGTGCTGGGTGTATGTTGAGGCCAGTGGTCGCACTGCTCTCCCAGTTGAAATCATCATAGACCAGGATTGCACTTTACAGCTGAGCCATTAAGGTGAAGCTTAAAAGATAGTTTATAAACAATAAGATTCAAGTCCTATTTCATGAATCTTTCATATGGTATGAATGAATGAAAGGGTCCTTATGAAATGATGATTGCTTAAAGCTTAGTTATATTGGACTTTCAAAAGTCATATTTCATTCCTGTCCTACCAGAAAAAAAACTCTTTACTTAAAATCCCTGAGATTAAATACTGTATTCCCATAAAATTGGTGCATGGACAATGCCTGTGTAAACATCACACTCCCAACAATTCAACCAGACAGTTGAACTGCAACAACATTGCAGTCAGTATTCAAAGGGCTGGAAAACAAATGCTCCTTTCAGGAAAGCCTGAGGAACGCCACCCTTTCCTGCAAGATTTCCTTCCACCATAGACAATCACAATGATCTTTCCCACTTAACCTGGAATGGGTTTTGTACCTTTGGAACTGGTACAACATTCAGAAACAAAGCAAGCACTTTTACCAAAGGGACACAGATCTTGAATAACCATCAAACACAGGAAAAAATAACTCTTGTTTTTGAGAAGGAAGATGAATGAATTTACAATTAATTCAGTTGAAAGCTTGATCAAATATTAAAAAACACTTTTACAAAGAAGACTTGAAAAAAGGGCCCAATTTCCTCTAATTAAAATAGTTCTAATTTCTAAACGGATTCCTTAACGGAATTAATATCACAGGCTGCTCCAGAAATACGTGATGTATTTTCAGTTACCGAAAGGTGTGTATTTGTGTGACCCAGATTTCTGATTAAAGAATGCTATTGAGAAATATTGCATTTTGTGAAATGTTCATGTCCAAAGCTCAGGGAAACATATAACCAAGCTTATAATCTTTCAATGGAATTATTTTGCCATTGAGTAAAGAATAAGAAACTCTGTAACAGGAAATTCGTCCTCAGTATCTCAAGTGTTGCCATGGTTACATCATTGGCTGTCTTCATCTAGCTGATTTTTCTTCTCATTTATTCCTTTCAATACTGAGTACTTTAATCCTTCTAATACTATTTTCATCATTTCTTCTAGTTTAAACATTTGCATCTCAGCCTTATCTTCCCTATTTGTTGATATTGTTATTCAATTCAAATTCTCGGTACTGTCCAAAAAGAATCCTAGGAAAAGCCTCACATTTTTCTTTCCTACATTCTCCTCACTTTTATCCTTCATCCAATATTCTTCCAGATGTTCGTTTAATTTTTCTTATCAATATTCTCACAATTATTCTGTTCAGTCTTTTACACATTATTTCTACTGCTCCTTGTTACTCCGATGTGAAAGGCGCTCTATAAATGGAATCTTGTTGTTGTTGTACTCATAACATACTTTCCATTTATTCTTCCCATTACTTCTTATAAGAGTTGCGGCATTCTTTCCTAATCTAGCGTGCGTTACTACTTAATCTTTCTCTATCAGTCCTTTATTGCATCCATTTTTGTATTCGCCTTATGAAACTCCCATTACTCTTTGAATAATTAATTCCTGTTCAATCTCCATTTATCCTACAAATATGTTCCTTGTTTTTCTGGCAACACTCTCACCGCTGGGGCATAAGGTTGAGATTCCAGCTCAAAGCCAGACACCCACTCCAGCGCAGCAATGGGGGAGTCCTGTATCGTCAGAGAAGCCATCTTTCAGGACAGTTCCTATCTGTCTGTTTTTCAGGTGTCTGTCAAGATCCCATGACAATATTCAAAAAAGGGAGAGTCTCCTTAGCAACAATCCTCTAGTTTCATCTCACGACTGTTATAAGACCTTGATGGAATAAATAGCTGTCGTGCTTCACTATAAAAACAGTGCACTTGACAGTGATTTCCTTTCAAGTGTTTTGAGCTGTTTGGCATGATAAGGAATGCAAATTCTTTCTACTTATTACATTTTTAATTAAATTTACTCAATATTCTTCTCATAACAATGTACCATAATTTGGTTTTCTCAAAGGTATTTTCCACATTTGAACCTTCCAGCACTTGTGTTAATTAATATTTTTTACTACTTCTTCCAAAGATCTTCACAGGTACTCCTTTAGATACTATACAATACAGTAACATGGTTCCATTATTATATCTTCCAAATATCTTCCAATTACTTATTTGATACTTTCCCATTATTCTCCATCAGTACTATCCCCTCTATTTCTATTGATATTTTCTTATCTCATCTCCCCATTATTTTTCCAAACTTCTCCCCTCTACTTCTGCCAAAATTCATCCCACTGCTCTAGTCAATACTCTCTTATTACTATTGCCAATACCATTTCTCCTTTACTCAATCCAATACATTTTTATTTCTTCTAATAGCCTTTCAAAATTCATTCAAATAGATGGAAGAGCTTTTATTTTGACATCACCAATAATGGGGAGGGAGGGGGGGGTAGTCTTGCAACCAGTGTTAGGTTTATCTTAGGTCCATATGTAAAGGATGTTTGACATTGCACATTAAACTCTTATTTATCAACGGCTGGGATATTAGGTCTGTTGCAATGTTTTTTTCTCCACATAATGACTGCTTGAATCCAGTTTTGGACTCTTGAAAATTCAACAAGGGAATCTGAAATGACACCTTGTTTAAGAATTATACATTTAACAGTGCTTTAGCACATTTTTGTTTTCCTTTGGGAAACATTTGATCCAAGCACCTTGCAATAAAATTAGTATGACATGATAATGCTCGTGTTGTTTGTGACTGCTGCTGTGATTTTTGTGAGTTTGATTACATTTCCCAATTGGAAAATCTGTGAACGGATGCATCTGCTTGGTAGAGCTACAAACTAAACTACGAAAGAGATGCTGATGTGCTTTCTGAACGCACTGCACACCAGTTGACCGGAAAGGAAACCAGAATGAAGAAGTAATTGACTGGTCATTCATGTCCTCAACAGAGGAGGTCAGGAATCTTCCCCCAAAAGCAGAGAAAGAAAATCAGTAGCTGATGAAATCCAAGTCATATCCAATGCACTCTCAGCAATCAGATGGAGAGAAGCACAGGCAATTATTGAGAATTATGGCTCTCCAGTTCTCTCAAGCATCGGCTTAGGGGAACCAGAAAGGTTGAGAAAACATAAAATCAGAACAAAACATGGGCGTGAGTACCTACAGTGCAGCTAATATATTTTTAGAGTTTATCCTGTTAAAACCATTAAAGAAGGATTGAACCAAACCAGCCAAGCCAGGGTTCAAACTAAAATCCCACTGCTCAGATCTTCTCTGCCATTTCCTCCAGGTTACCTATTTCCAGCTTCCAGGTTGTTGCTATGCAGATGGGATTTTTCCAGCTCACAAGAGATGACCTTGCAAGGTGAGGAAATTCCATATGGGGCACATGGCAATGACTACAGACTTCCTGTCACACATCATATCTCTGAGATGAAGCAAAAAATACCAGATGCAGAAAAGTGTTAATTATACTTATACATTTTTCAATGCTGTATGTCTTCCACCCAAAGTTATTAAATCCAAAGTATATGGGAGGAGTATACTGGAAAATAAGATTCAACCAGTTACAAGGAAGCAACCCAAGTATATTATAGCCTGACAATTAT